TCTCGTTTTCAGGCGATAGAATGCTCTATTGAAGTATAATTGCTTGTATCCTAACCCCAAAGGAGTAAGAAGTGTAAAAATGAATTATGGTGTTTAATCTCCTTGGGAGGGAAGGCAGAAGGAGTCGCTCAGTTATGTCTCAGAGTAACCCGGTATTCGCTAAGCAGTTACTCCCATTTTTTATGATGTTGAATCCTCTGAGAGCGCTCTGCTGGCACCTCTGACTCCTGCCAGTTGCTCTTACTCATGCAAATCCTAACACTTTCCATTAACTCCCTACCTGACCACTTGAATTAGCACTTTAAATCGTTATCTCTATTTACCTGGCTGAGCAGCAGTGAGCAGAGCAGAAAGACTGCCATCGCTTTCCAGCGGAGCATCCTCACGGCGCGAGCTGTCACTTGGACCGCAGGACCAGCCAGGGGCACAGGAAGCGGGAAAAGCCCCAAATAGACCTTCCCGAGCCTCGGCGAGATTTTTATAGACTTCATTCTCTTATCTTTGCATCAGCTGTCAGTCACTGCAGGAACAAAGTTCGTTTCGGAGCAAGAGGGAATTACTAAGTTAGCATCTCCCGAAGTGGTCTGGTTCAAGGCCTGTCTGCCTAGCTAATGATTTACTCCCCTTCCACTTGTACTTTGTCTGGTCGGCTTCCCGGCTGGGCCAGCCGTTCCTTTTTTTAAAGCCTACCTAACACCTTACCAGAACTCCATGGCGCATCTGCAAGCAAAAGCGTGGTTGGCCCGAAGTATTATGGTAAAGATCAAAAGCCATAACCTTATTTAACTTCTGTGACATGCACAGTGCGTGCAGCTTCGTCAGCTGGGCCAAGTGTCACCTCACCAAGCTTATCTGGAGCAGGGAATCACACCTTGGATTCTGCTGCTCCTTCTTGGTACGTGAAAGAACCGTGAGGAAGCTGCTTAACCTTCCTTGCCGCACACACAGTGCTCAAAAAGCAGACGTCCTACTTTCCGGGTGCGTTTTGCAGTGTGGAAAGCACGTTGTGCACGATAAAAGAACCTCCCGAGGATCCCAGCGTGCAGTGAGAGACAGTGGCCTCTCGCTCGCTGAGCCCAAGGCCGCTGTCAGGGCTTCGGGGGCCGAGCTGCTGCAGGCGGCCAGGCTGCGGTCTCTTTAGGCGAGCCCTCTGCAATCGGCTGCCTCGCAGCGTAACTCACAGTTAAGCCTCCCAGGGGTGCCAGCAGCTCCCATGGGTGTGGATGGGCGCTTTCTAATTAGGAGGAATCTTAATTTTTTCCATTGTGAAGTGACATTGTAACAGCCTAGAGACAAGAATGCTGAAGAAGAGCTATCCATCACCGCTCATCTTCTTTATAATCCTTCCCGCTTACCCACACTGAGACAAGCGGGAGAAGCATGCGTCTGAGATCGCCAGTCTGTAATGGACCTTGCTGGTACTCGCCCCTCTTCCTCCCCCTCCTCCTCCTCATCTGTGAGATCTTGTGCCTCTGGCTCCCACATCTGTCCCCCGTACACCAGATCCGTCGGGTGCAACATTTCTGAGACCGCAGAGTAACAGAGAGAGGATAACAACTTACTCATGTTGAGCATGTGCAGGGCTGGAGCGCGCCCTGTTTTAAGTTACTCCAGGTAGGAAGATACCGTGTAAAAAAATGAACGATGTTTTAGTGAAATTGTAAATACAAATCTGGATGTAACAGGCTACCATTTTCTGTGATTGCTTAACATGGAGGCGTAAATGCCAGCGTGGAAGGCGAGTGAGGGAGATTGAGATATTGGCGCGTTGTCAGGTTCCTGTCTACGGACGATTACCCCTCAGCCCAGACTTCACTGTGCTGAAGTAAAAACCCTGCCCAGCACACTGTCTGCAACTGCTGGAAACTCTGCTCCTTTCCTAGGGCTCTTCTGACACTTTCCTCTGCCCTGTCTGTCTTGCTTCCCTGGGAGGAGGAATGGAAACTCTTCATCATTTCACCTTCCTGGGTCTGACGAAGGCAAGGGGACGGTCAGGCACGGCACATCAAATGGCCGAACTGCAAAGTTTCTTTTACGTTTGGCCGTGAAATTGTCCCCTGTTTTTGCCATGAAGTCCTTTCCTTCCATGCATCCAAGTTGTAGCAGGCACAGTGGGGAGGAGGTTTGTGTAGCATCCTTGTCCTCTTGTGCTAGTGCTTTCTCTGAGGTCTGTTTTGCTGGTCAAACCAGATACTGAAAACTCTGAGGTACTCTCCCCTCAAAAATGGCCCAGATGTTGCGCTTGGACTAAGGAAGTATAGATCTGCCTCTTTCTGGATGCTTTCTTGACTCCCCTCATTAATGTCTTAATGTTTCTCAAGGTGGTGGTGTGGCTCTGAAGCCACAGCTGCCTCAGAATTACAACTCCTCACCACTGACTATGTCACAAAACCAACAGCGAGGGCCTGTGGGATCTGGAGGCTTCTCTGTGACTTTGGATCTATCTGGAAGTAAGCCAGGAGGGGGCTAAGCCTGCTATCACTGCATGCACAGCCTGATGCCAGCACACACTGGAGCAGCAAGACCCCAGTGGAGCTGTTATCCTTGCCTGTGTGACGTAATCCCAGGCTCAGAGAGTGATGTGGTGTGTCTTGTGGGCTTTGGCTGCACAAAATATTTAGTATGCAAAGGAAGGTTGGCCACTGCTCCTCCAGCTGTTCATAAAGTGATACCCGGCTGGGGTGACGGTGCCGCGCTGTTTACAGCCGGCTGTCAGCTGGTTCACAGTTCAGCTGTCTGCGAACCGGGGCAGAGACCTCGCCGGAGACCGAGACAGCAGCGTTGCTGAGACGAAATTCATTGAGAAACAAGTATCTGCTGAAGCTACCGGGAAGAGTTCACACGTGCCGTCGTTTCGGCTACCCAGCAGCTGCCGCGGGCGCTCTGGGACGCTGAGTAAGCGGGACTCGCGTCAAGTTTTGAGTAAAGTCTGCCTCTAGGCATCTGTGCTGGCTCTCACCATCGCAGCAGCCAGTTCGTTGCTCCCTGCTTGCTTACGCTGCCTCGAAAATACCAACGAACTGAAAGGCAGGGTTAAATTTAAGCACAGAATTATTTTTAGCACAACTTGCAGCAGGGGATGACTGGTATGACTCCTGTTCGTGCCAGCCTCAGGCTGTATTTGGAGCAAACACAGGAGCCGTAGGAGCAGCCCCAAGACTGAGCTTAGCGTCGCGTGCTTTTTAAACCTACACCAAGAGCCCCGAAAGAATAAAGCACTCGGCTACGAAACCTGCATGGCACCCAGCTTCCCGAGGTGAGAGGCTGAGCACCTCTGTCTTCCAGACAGCCGAGCGCACCGAGAAGCGAATGCGGGGAGACGTCACTCCCACGCTGTGGATAAGATAAACCCTCGGTACCAGCCACAGCAGCAGCGTGACAGGGAGATAACGGCGTTGCCTTGCGTGGGGCACGAGCTTGAGACGGTGAGACGGTCTGCTGAAAGGGGAAAAAAGGACAAAGGAGCCAGTGAGATGGTCGGGACTTTGAACGGTGAAGCTTGTTTATACGCTCGGAGCCACAGGGTGAATTTCCTTCGCACATACTGAAGTAACTTTACTCCTAGCATTTGTTTTTACATCACCTGCAGTCCTCTTTCTCCTGGTAGTTTCCAGGAAGAAACTTCTCATCCAGCCTGGTAACACTAATCAGGTATCAGAATTGCAGTTAAGCGTCTGGTTAACACTAACAAATAGGATAACAAGGTAACTAGTATCAGAGAATCATGGAGCAGCCCAGGTTGGAAGGGACCTGGGAAGACTGTCTGGTGCAGCCTGTCATGGGAAGGGAGCCCAGGGGAGCTCACCAGCACCCGGCCCAGTCGCACCCCAAAAACCCTCCCGCTGGGGAGCCTGTTCCCATGATCCTTTGTTCTCAGGGTAAAAAAATTCCTTTCTTACATCGAGATGAAGCCTCTGTGGGTGCAAACCGCACCGGCTGCCCCGCACCCTCCGCGTGCGGCTCCTGGCAGGGGGAGGAGAGCCTCTGTGCAGAGCTCAAAGCCCACGCTCAAGCCTGAAGCCACCAGCCAGCTCATGCAGTTTTGGTCAGTACCAAACCAGGCGGCCTGTTTGCTCTTCACAGATCTCAAGGTGAGAGGGAAGAGAAGTGGCTGGTGATAGAATAATAAAGGGAGTCATTATTTCGCACCGTCTCCAGCTGACGGCAGCCCTCCCTGCGCTGGTTATCCTGAGAAATGCTGGGAAGAAACGGGAGTCCACAAAGGCTGGAAATGCCCTAACATAGAAGAGTGTGTGCAGACAGAACTTTGCCTGATTATCGCCCCAGACAGAGGGAACCAGACAGCGACAGGACAAGGGGCAACAGGCACAAACTGAAGCAGAGGAAGCTCCAGCTGAACGTGAGAAAGAATTTCTTCCCTCTCAGGGTGACGGAGCCCTGGCCCAGGCTGCCCAGGGAGGCTGTGGAGTCTCCTTCTCTGGAGATATTCCAGCCCCGGCTGGCTGCGGTGCTGTGCAGCCTGCTCTGGGTGACCCTGCTTGGGCAGGGGATTGGGCTGGGTGACCCCCAGAGGGCCCTGCCAACACCTGCCATGCTGGGATTCTGGGATTTGCTGCTCCCCGCCTTCAGCATCACGAGACACCGACTTCACACCGAGCCACGGGGCTAAAGTTAAAGTTTATTAGACAAGACCCATCGCCCTCTCACTGCCCTTCCAGCCACGCAGACGAGCTCAGCGACACGAGGGCGATAACACCGGGAGGTCACCACCTCTTTTTATTAATTGGATTACTGGTCGTTCTCGTAGTCGGCGGGGTTCTTCCTCTTCAGCCTCTCAAACTCTTGCGTCCCCCAGGAATAAAGGAGGTAAGCTCCCAGAAAGGCTGAGAAAGGAAAAGGGACGCTCACAACGCTGCGAAAAAAACCCCAAATCCCCTCAGAAAACCCCCTCCCCCAGCGCATCGCCCCACAGACGCC